GTGAGTTGCGCACGTTAAATATCTCTTGGTGGTCTAAAATCGATAAGAGCAGGCTTCAGCCGCCACCCGGGGAAAATTCAAAATTTCCTTCCAACTGAAAAATGTTTAATGTGTCCCGCGCGCTCATAATATGAACTTACGCAGTTGCGAGCGCCGTAAAACACTTACAAAAAAAAAAGAAAGAAAGAACACAACGTCGTACGGAGTTGTGACTCGAACCCCAGACCCACAATCTCACGGTTAAGGCCGACAAGTTCGGTTACCTAACCACTCGACTTTGGCCGCCACCACAATATCAGTTACTTCCAATATTATGTGCTAACGTTTTTCCTTTGACCCGTATGTTTGACTATTGAAGGCAAGTGAGGCTGGGCCACGAGAGAACAGTTATCCAACTGATGTATTAGTGTTGTGGTCTGTGTTCCTCGAGCTCAGGCTTTGAGTTCAGCTTTTTAGGTGACATTTTGCGCTCGTCTCCGAAGCCGAAAGTCCGGGTTCGAGCCTCGGTTCGGACACCGATCTTTTTCGCCCCCTCCTGCCCACCCAGCAGTAATGGGTACCTGACTTGGGGTTGAGGAAGTAAAGGCGGCGTGGAAAGGAACTGGCCACCCTACCACAATAGGCCGAAGGTCCAGGAAGTTGTCTCACTAACCAGGCAGTCCCCAATGTCCGGACCGGATGCGGGAACAACTTTACTTTACTTTACTTTAGGCCCAGGAAGTTGTCTCACTAACCAGGCAGTCCCCAATGTCCGGACCGGATGCGGGAACAACTTTACTTTACTTTACTTTAGGCCCAGGAAGTTGTCTCACTAACCAGGCAACCCCCAATGTCCGGACCGGATGCGGGAACAACTTTACTTTACTTTACTTTAGGCCCAGGAAGTTGTCTCACTAACCAGGCAGTCCTCAATGTCCGGACCGGATGCGGGAACAACGTTTTCTTGGTTTGTTTCCCAACACTTAAAAAGGTAGCACCAGTCAGGTGTTTTATGTTCCGCCTCGGACTCATGTACTCTGTAGGTGTTTTATGTTCCGCCTCGGACTCATGTACTCTGTAGGTGTTTTATGTTCCGCCTCGGACTCATGTACTCTGTAGGTGTTTTCAAAAATCGAAACTTAAAGGAATTGTTTTGTTGTTGAGTCCTTGAAAGAGATGGGGTTCAAGTTAACAAACTTCATCAAAAGGCTATAGATGTCTACAGGAACCAGTCAAATCAGTGACTGATACAACATGACGAGACTGTGGGTTGTATGTCCTCAGGTACACAGTCACCCACACAACATGAGGGGACAGTCACATCAGACCCACTGACTGATACGGTCACTTTTTAGGACACGCGGGCTAACCCAGATTTCGGGGGTTCCAGAAATCTTGACCTACACCAAAAGTGGGCATTGCCCTACCTATAGGAGAAGTTTGGTTTCGTTGGTGTGTATATTTGTTTGGTTATAGAGAAAACTCTCCTTGTCTTTTAAAGAAACTGAACAAGGGGCAAAAACTTTACCTTCGATTTTCTCAAAACAGCTTTTATCGGGATAGCCTCGCTTGTGCTAAAAAGCGACCAACGACATGAGTGGGTTATAATATAACCGTCATCAGGTACACAGGGTAGGCGCAGCCCCGAGGGAGAAGTGTTTGGTCAGTTACTCTGGACAACTCTTTGATAGATAGATAGATAGATAGATAGATAGATAGATAGATAGATAGATAGATAGATAGACAGACAACTTACATTGGCACAGGTTCCCTCGTTCTGTACCGATAGTTTGACGTCTTTGCAGTGAGCCTTGGCGAAGTCACATCTGTGGACAGACAGCGGGCAGAGAATTGATTAGGACATCTGTGGACAGACAGCAGGCAAAGAATTGATTAGGACATCTTTTAGTTTTAGAAGAGGTTTTACGGCACTCGCAACTGCATAAGGTCATATGAGCGCCAGAAGATTAGAGGTGTTACAAGAGAGTAACAAACATAAAAAAAAGAAGAAGGGGAGAAAAGGACGATAGATGTTGGATAGGAAAGAACCACCACCCACAAACAAAGAATGGATGAGGATATTTGTAGACAGGCAGCAAACGAAGAATGGAATATGATATTTGTAGACAGGCAGCAGGCAGAGAATGGATTATTGTTTTGTTTTGGTAAGTGTTTTACGGAAGGAGCTGAAAGAACACAATTTAAGAGCAGAAATGTTTTCGGTCGCTACCCGGATTCGAACCCGGGACCTTTGAATGAGAGGGAACACCTTAACCTCTAGGCCACGAGAGGCCCCAAGAATGGATTACGATATCTGTGTTCAGACAGCAAGTAAAGAATAGATTGTGATATATCCTGATAGACAGCAGACAAAGAATGGATTGTGATGTATGCTGATAGACAGCAGACAAAGAATGGAATGTGATGTATGCTGATAGGCAGCAGACAAAGAACGGATTCTGATGTATCCTGATAGACAGCAGACAAAGAATGGATTGTGATGTATCCTGATAGACCGCAGACAAAGAATGGAGTACATGTATTTCTGTCAGTGTGGGATCAAATAGAGATTGCTTCTTCAGTAGATCCAATATTTCACCAAACTTTGAAACAATCTTCAGTAGAACCCAGTGTAGCCGCAATCGAATAATTTCGTAGAGATATTCAAATGAGGTGATGGAGAATTTGTAAAAACGAGACGTCCACCAACTTGGTTCATCAGCTCAATTCTAAGATGTTGAACAAGCTTATTGTGTTTGGACGGTCCCACTCTCACTTTCCTAGTGGTGTTGGTGGTCTAGTGGTTAAGCTTCCGGACTCATAATCGTGAGATCGCAGATTAGCGGGTTTGAGCCTCAGCTCGGTCCAACGTTGTGTCCTTGGGAAAGACATTTTACACGAATTTCTCATTTGGCTCTGTCCTTTCGGAGACGGACGTTAAACTCGGAGGTCCCGCCTCTTAAAAAACCCAACAGTGTGGATAGGGGCGTTAAACCTATACCATTTTTTTTTGAGTTCTTACTTTCCTCACTGATTCGATATGGGCGGTAGAAGATGACACTTTTTGATGTACCTGTTGTTGTCGTTTATTCTGTTTTTCCTTTTACTTTTATTCTCCTTTCTTCTAACGTTCACGATTTTGTGGCAGAATCTACATCGAATTAGTCCAACGTAAAAAACCGAGTGTAGCCAAGGCAGTCGACTGTCATTACATCCGTATGGTTTAGTTCATCACAATCACACACAGACGAGATTGAAGGACTGGTAGGTACACAATGGGCTCCGATCCCACACGAATATCACTAGATAGATAGATGGACGATCGCGAAGACACATGGATGCATGGAGGCATGGAGGAATCAGTGGATGGCTGGATCGATTTACTAACAGGTGCCGAAATGACCACGAAGAGGAGAACCCCCCCCCCCCTCTGTCACACACACACACACACACACACACACACACACACACACACACACACACGCACATACATACATAAGCATACACACACAGAGACACACACACACACACACACCCACACAAATATATCTATATATATATATACATATATACATACATATATAGAATATATATATATATATATATGTAGTATATATATACACATACCACACAGGAAACGAGACAGACAGAGAACCTCATCGGTGTTGTAAGACATTTTGATAGCCCCCAGACCACGGTGTGGAGTTTAGTTTCCGCCGGAGGT